ATTTTTGGAGGTATTTTCAAATCGGTCCAGCTTATTTAAATCTTAAAATTTTTCCGAAATATTTTGGTGAACGTCTTAAAACATAATCTGCATTATCCTCAGTTTCGCCTGAAAAAAATTCAACCGAAAATTTGTCATCCGCTCATAGTAAAACCATGGAACCAAAAGTAAAAAGTGAACGGGTTCGGGGAAAATGAAACTCATAAGGCTGAATAAATTTTGTAATCGCGGCGGAAAACCCGCAATTTTCTTTTGGTGATGCAGTCTAATGTACATAAGTAGATCGTTAGTTCACTTTTAGTAACCAGCGGGAAGAAGAAAAAATCAGAGCCAATGCAGCTGAATTTTTCAGACCTAACTTGAGATGAAGTGCTAGAGTTTAGTTGATGTTTTCGCTCTGTAAGGGCCACTTTGGCAGTCCTGCCAGATGTAATAGCTTTCCATAGGAATTTCGCTTTTGGTGTGTTTCACTTTTTCTTTATGCATGTCTAACTATGATATGATAAAAAAACGATTTCTGTGTTAGTACACATAAATATATAATTCATGCAAAACAAGTTATTTCGCCGGCAAATAGCGCACGTGCTTAGTGCTGTTAAAATGTCCCTTATTTGCCGGCAAGCCAAGCAATTAAGTTATTGACAGCACACAAGTTTATTCTACTCCGAGGACATTGCTTACAGTTCGCTCTCAATGCAGCTGCAATTAACAGACTTGCCAACTGGGTCTGTTAAAGTCTTAGTAAACCCTCACTTACTTAGTGAGTGCACACAGCTGCCGCCGCAAGCAAGCAGGACTACCAGCACACTTCCACTGTTAACTTCTTTTTTTGTTGCTTGTATGCTTACAGCATCCTGCCGCTGCTTTCATCTCGTAATAGCAATCAGTGCTTATCGGTCTTTCGGCGCAAACGGACGCGTGAAACGGAAAGAAAACAGTGAAGTGAAATAGTGAATGAATAGGAAAAAAGTAAAAAAAAAAAATAAAACAAATAGCAATCAGTCTTCATGTTGTGAAAGAATACTTCGTGGTGGGTGGTGATTTATTATCACATACTCGGCTACAAACATACACACATACATACATATATTGGTATGTTTCAAATCATTGTCTACTTGTTGCCTGCAATTGTGTGCGCGTACGATAATTTTTAATATGTAATTTATTACACTTATTATTACTTTGATGTTGTTGTTGTACGTTACCTATACGCCATGTACGCCGCTTTTGTTGCCGGAATTTAATTGGTTATCGGTGCGTGCGGTGACGCGTGTGTGCGCGCGCGAATATTTATCGATGTGCTTGAGGAACGTTTGTAAGTTACGGCGCATTGAATTATCGCCGGTATTACACGCTATTGGCATTTCGACGCGTCGGTCTTCGTTTGGCTCCTTTCGTAGTTGAAAACAAAAAAAAAAATACTGGTCCATTTGTTTTTACTGATAATGCTAATATATTCAGCCATAGCCTGCCAGTGATTTACGCGGTTCGTTTGCAGACAAATAAGTGATTTAATTCAATATCAAAGCAACGAATTTGTGTCGGCCAACTTTCGTACAATTTACTCATTTAACTACAATGGTCTCAGCAATCGATTTTGATTACTCCAATGATGGTTGTACCGCTGGCTAAATGGATTATCGCAATTGCATTTAATGTGATAAAGCCTACTAATTTTGCCGTGAAAAAATGGTGATGTGAATAAATGAGAAAATGTAAGGAAAATTTAGAAAAGAAAATAAAAAGGTCAATTAAACTTTTAACTAACTATAAATTAATCGTCTAAATTTCTGCTTTGTACATATGCAAATATATAAATATTAAAAAAAAAATATCTAAAAATATGCATTAAACTCACTGCTGACAGCCAAAGCCAATATCTACTTAGTGTTTTGTCGTGTCCCTGATTTTCAAGAAATATAAATTTATATAATGCAGGTAAAAATATTCAGCCAATATTAATGGAAAATTGTTATAGCATAGCAAGAGTTAAACAATAAAAATTTTAAAATTATGGTTTGTTATCGAAAATGTTAGCTGCTTTTTAGACTCAAATATATTATAAGCGTTTTAAAAGTTCAGTAGATACCTAAAACCAGTGCTTAGCAAATGTGCTTATATGTTTACAATTAATTTCAAAACAAATAGTGTCCGTTAAAACCAACTGTAGCGCTCTGCCGCCGGAAACTTTTAAAAACTAAGCGACAATTTTCTTACGGGTGAGTAATTTTTACCTAAAAAAATATATAAATAGTAATATAGCCACTAATTGTTGCATTTGGTTGCAAAAGATTTTCGAAGAAAAAATTTGTTGGTCTTCAATGCCACAATTTTGCCGCCAGAGGAAAGTGTAGGAGGAAAATGGAGGAACCAATTGAAATTATAGCGATTTAAATTTTCCATTATTTATCCATTCATTGATACTAAAAATAAATCATTTCTTTGCGAGGTAAGAGTTGAACTCTAATAAAGAGTTTTTGATTAGTTTTAGAAATATCGCCTCCATTTGAAAATATCTAACCTCTTTCGTTTTATGATATATTCCAGGGACCGAACATGACAATTATTGATGAAAACTGTTATGGAAAAATTCACTATGAACGAAATGCTCTACAACTAAGTGATACATACCAATCGATTTCTTTTTTCACCGAGACGTAAATTCGAAAATAAATTTTTATTTGCAATTTTTATGCAAAATTAAAACAAATCATTTATTTTTGATTTTTGGATTAAGAATCAATCCAAAATAACAATTATTTTTGATTTTCAAATTATATGTCTTAGATAACAGTTATTGAAGACTGTTATTTATGAAAGTCATCAATAAAAATCAGTCAGTGACTTTTATCTTTTAAAGTCATCAATATAAATCAGTCACTGACTTTTATTTTTTAAATCATTCGTATAAAAGTCTAAAACATTTTTCGCAGCTAAGAAGGTGGTGGGAAACAAAAGCTTACTATAACTTATACAAATGACTTTTATAAATAAAGCTCAGTGACTGATTTTTATTTATAACTTTTATAAGTAAAAGTCCTCGATAACTGTTATCTAAGACATATAATTTAAAAATAAAAAATAATTGCCATTTGCAGAAAATTACACTTGTTGGCAGGAGTGATTCTCCATAGGATTTAGATACTGACATTAATATCGGTGTTAATGCTTGTACCCAACTAAACGAAATTCTCTACTTTCTCGAAATTATAATTGTCAACAGTGACGTGGGTGCCAAGGCGCGAATGTGCAGACTGTTTGTTCGATGACAGGAGCTACTTCATCTTGTCGTCGTTTACCATCAGACCCATTCGCTTTGCTTCTTTATCCCACTTGGAAAAGGCACAACAGTCTTCGTGGTTTTTGTTACCGATGATGTCGATGTCATCGGCATAAGCCAGCAACTGCACGCTCTTGTAATCTATGCTTGGAAGGCTGATTCCGCATTAGTTGGCGCGAATGGTGGGGCCGCCTTTCTTGTGGATTGGGCAGAGCACAATTAAATTCCAGTCGTCGGGCATGCGCTCATCTGGCCATATTCTGCATAAGAACTGACGCATGCATCTTACCAACTGCTGGCAGGCTGTCAGCTCCAGCGGCTTTGTTGTTTTTCAGCCGCGTTATTGCTATTCGTACCTTGTCATAATCAGGCGGT